CAACGTTGATCATTTGAAAAATATTCCAAGCAAACACCTTACAGCATTCATGAATATATACTAAATTTAACCATCAGAGCAAAGTTGGCAGTCGCTTTTGGGGTTTGCTGTTAAATATATTGTCCCTATCAAGCCAGTCTGCAAACGCCAAAGCTAGCGCAAATTTATGTTTACATTATATAAAGACCAGTTTAGCGGAGACACTTGTGTTCAGAAAGACGCAGTTAACTATTATTTCCATAAATAGAACAAGATTCTGAATATGAAGACAAGGCTGTCGGGCATTTTTTGGCTCTTCGACTTTGCTGCGAGACTTCCACGTATGCATGATTGTTGGTGTGCCATATTTTGGTCTGGACGCAAGTCGCCTAGCATCATAGATATTTGGCCAATAGTTCGACTAAGTTCATCTAATGTTCTGAATGTCTGGGCCAATATCGGAGTTTTAAACTAACGTCTGCCCTTGGGCCTTGCCACCAGTGAATCCTCGTTTCAATTAGTCGGCTCTAAATCACCTTGTCCTGTTTTCTCGTTACTCGCCATATGTGTGTTTGAAAAAGCTACATAAGTATTACCTCAATAGCTCCGTTTACAAAAATAGTCCCGTTGAGTCTTACCTACTCGTCGTATAATTTTTCTTTCCCTGTTTCCGTAAGATTATTGTTTGTACCGCGATACACAAATTCCTCAATTATTTTATGTGCAAAGGACAAAAGTCATGTTGAACAAGCTTGCCAAAACTGATCATGGAATCACGCACGCTGTTCGCATGTGCATCGGTTGTAACGTGACTGATCACGCAGCAGAATACGAGATTCCATCGTAGTAGAATAATCTGGGGTTCCGGTCGGTAATTCCATGTGCGTAAATTAATAGCAACATTCGTGTCGGCTGATTGCGAGTTTCTTTTAACACCTCTGTGGTTTTGCGCAAAATTCACAAACAAGTTGGCACAGGCAGTTTTCAAACTAAAGAATCTTCCCAAAAGTTGAAGAGAAAGCCCGCGCCCCAACAATGTTTAAGATGGGAAAATAAATTGAATTACCTTCTATGGACTTCGTGTCGAACCCCAAATGTGCTTCATTCAAACGAAAATGCGATAAAAACTCAAATATGTCGTTGACGCAAACATCGACGGTTTGCATAATCTAGAGTTAGCATCAACTAAATTCACGCACAGCTCACAAGATGCTTCATGTTATCTTTAAACTTTCATGCATGATGAACTTTAGACTTCGCTAATGCTTCCTTTTCCTTTTGGGTAAATAGCCTGGCGGAATTTGCTAGTGCCCTCGCACGGCGCTCGGCGCCGTTGGCTCGGGGAGAAATACAAAATTTGATGCTCTTGCGACGCCCAGGGTACACTGTTTTTTAGTATTAGAAGTACAAACTAATATCTAATTAAGTTGAACAATTTATCAAATTAAGTTGAGTTTTTTCTAACTGTGAAGTATAATTATATATAATCCACTTGTAAATATTTTATAGTTTTTAAATAAGCATAGACGTATAGTTCACGAATACCATGTATAATATAGATATATATTACAGGACCTCCCTGAAAAACACTTTTGTGAGTGGAGCTTCCTGAATAAATATTATTATTATTATTATAAACTGATTTAAGCGGGCAACTAAAATCCTATGTTTATGATTTTAACTTTTTGATAGCGCTCGATCCAAGTTCAAGCCATTCAACGTCTTCATCAAGTAGTACATAACACCTGGATCCTCATTGGAGCTGTGGCTGGATCAGTAGTTGTCATCGTGTCATCAATATTCATTGGTGTTTGTTGTTTCCGCCAAAGGAACAGGGGTTTGCGCTTGAAGCGAATTTGTAATTCGGAAAATGCTTTTGAGGAAAAACTAAGGGAGCTGAAAGGTTTTTTGGTGAGGAGGGGTTATAATTCCGATTTGGTTGATGACCAGTTTGGCAGAGTGAGAAAAGTCGACAGGAATAATTTGTTAATGCGAAAAGAAAGGGTTAAGATTAATAATAGGAACAGTTTTGTGATAGATTATCGATCATCCAGCATTGAGTGTTCTTTATAACGTCTTTAGGGAATTACATGTAATTGTAAGTTGGTCTGAAAGGTTTTTAAATATTATGCCGGAACCACCAATGGTGTGTTTTCGTCGCTCACTTAGTTCGTTCTAAATTGAGAAGGGAAGAGGAAACGGAGGTAAGGATGTTTAAGTGCGGAAAGAAGAAATGTAAAATCTGTGACAATGTCATTATTGGCCCTGCTTTTAAAAGCCTTGCTGAGGGACATGATATTTTAATGTTCTGGGTGCAGTAGGAAATAATACAGCTAAAGGAACTGGCCGTGGTGAAAAGCTTTAGAAGGGCACAAGTGGCGATAAAATCGCCAAATTGTCAGTCCTTGCGAGCAGCGGTATTTCCCCCAATTGTGTTTCCTGTTATCCCTGTGCGACACCTGGTGACCATAGAAACAATTTCAAAATGGCAACGAAGTTAAGCGTGGAAGATATATTGAACAAAGACTTAGAAGGCACTGCTGACACAAATGAAGAGCAGATAAAGAGTGAAAACGACGAAGAAAGCAGTAACGTTCTAACACTACCTAAAATAAGCGAGCCTGGTATCCTTCGCATGCTGTTAAACATAAATACTGGGAAAGGTTTTAGAGGAAAGTCCTATTTATGGCTGAAAGCTATCCACCGGCGTTTGGCTGGAAGACGAAACATAAGGCGGCCTTTCTTTTCACAAATAAGGCGTGATATACCAAAGGAAATGTTTCGATGTTTAGTTCTAGCAATCAAAAGTTGCCGAAGGCCATTATTCTGCGATCCGAATTGCTATGTCGTTGAAAGCAAGAAAATGACAGTTGTATCCTTTCAGTCCATGTTGGCAGTTAGCCAGTTAAAGAATTCCTCAGTGCCCTCAGTATGACAAAGGTATCAGGTTATCTGGAACGGAGATTGAGGGGAAAATCGCAAGTATCACTTGACAAAACTGTTGTTCTCTGCAACAAAGGATTTTGCACTGATTTGCTAATGATATATATCTATATATCTATATCTATATATATATATATATATATATATATATATGAGTGACAAGGAACGAAATCTGCTT